AAAAGTAAGTAAATATATGGTTTCTTGATCTAATTAACTACTGGAGATAAGTCCTTTTCCTTATGATTGCTTTTATGGCAAAGGAACCAAATACCAAATCTAAGGCTGATTTTATAATATCGAAAGTTTATTATTAAACCACTTACCAGGTACCAACTTTAGTCGACTACAGGTGTTTAGAAGTAAAAAAAGGCCAGACACAGTGGCTGACACCTATAATCCCAGCACTTTGGGAGGCTGAGGTGGGAGAATTAATTGATGCCAGGAGTTTGAAACCACCCAGGGCAACGTCGTGAGACCCCTGTCTCTACAAAAGATTTAAGTAAAAAAATTATCTGTGCATGGTAGCACACACGTGTAGTCCAAGCTAGCCAGCGGGGTAAAGTAGGAGGATTGTCAGAAGTTTGAGGCTGCAGTGCGCCATGATCATGCCACTGCACTCTAGCTTGGGCAACACAGACAGACCTTGTCTCTAAGGAAAAAAATGATAAAATAAATAAAACATGCATTTTGTCTGTCGCCATACTTCACAGTTTAGGACACAACCTGTGTATAATTGCTTTTTGGATACTTAGGGAATAATAAGAGTGGGAGAAAGAAATGAGTTTTTGGCTGGAGCTTTCCAGAGAGGCTTCTTGAAGGACATGGAATTTGATCTGGCCATGTAATGATGGGTAGAAGTTGGAAAGATAGATATTCCAAGTCCAGGACACAGTGTGATCAGGGATGTGGCAGTGGGAGCATGTGTAAGATAGTGGAAGGTAGTGTGAGGACCCAGGCAACGGCAGTGTGGGATGGACGGGCAGCGGGGGGTACTAGGACGTAAACTCAAAAGGCAGTTAGAGGTTTTAGAGGTTTTGTTGATGTTGGATTTGAATGCCAAGCCATAGAGCGTGCAGTGACTAAACACCAGAAACTTTTGAGCCAATGTGGGATATGGCCCAGGGACGCCCAAGAGAAGAATTTTAGTAGTGTAGTAATGGGATACTAAACTGTTAACAATATGTATATTCTAGCAAGTAAAATCAAAAGTTTTCAAAAGCTTTTCGTTAGAGATTTCTGAACTTACACAGAAGGAGGATAGTGAGCCCCCATTGTCCTGTCAGATAGCTTCAGTAATTATCAATACCTTGCTTAACATTTTGCTTCACCTGTACCTCTACCTGCCCTCTCACCCACCTCCCTCCACACACAACACACACACACACGCGCGCGCGCTTATTTTAAAGTGAGTCCTAAACATCACTTCAGATAGATTTAACAGCTGATGTTCAAATGGTTTTCAGAGTGTAAGCCTTAGTTTTTTGGTGTGGTGGTTATTGACTGTTATTGGAGATACAGAAGTAGGGTGTTGATGAATCTAGTTTGGGACATGCAGAGTATGAGGTGCCTATAGGATATCCAGCTGAAGATAGCTAGCTGTTGGATTTGTGGTTTAGAACAGAAGGCTGAGACTCCAGGTCTAAACTCAAGCCCACAGGTGCTAGTTGAAGGTGAAGGCATGGCAGTGGGGAGGAGAGCCCAGGGAAAATTGAGCACTGAGAGTGTTGGACCCTGGTAAGCTGGTAAGCATTGGGAGCTGCCTTCTTTTCCAGAATTACTTAGACTGCCCAGGCTCTGGGAAAGTATTCAAGGGAATAAAACCCAGAAGGCTACTATGTATGCATATGTAGTGTTTTTGTTTAGTTAGGGTTTTTTTGTTTGTTTGTTTTTTTAATGGAGCCTCGCTCTGTCGCCCAGGCTAGAGTGTAGTTGCATGATCTCGGCTCACTGCAGCCTCTGCCTCCTGAGTAGCTGGGATTACAGGCATGCACCACCATGCCCAGCTAATTTTTTGTATTTTAGTAGAGACAGGGTTTCACCATGTTGGTTAGCCAGGCTTGTCTTGAACTCCTGACCTGAAGTGATCCACCTGCCTCGGCCTCCCAAAGTGCCAAGATTACAGGCATGAGGCACCACACCTGGCCTGTACATTAAGTTTTAAGAACATAAATTAATCTCATTTAGTTGTACATAAACTGTGTTTTAGAAGGACACTGTAGAAAATCTTTTGGCAACTCTAAAAATGGATTAAGGTAATGACTAAAAACATTGGTTTATTTTTCATCTTTATAAAATGTTCACATCAAAGAAAAAGAATATGGAAAAGATAGTATCTCAGTGATTTCCCTGATGTCACAATATGCCATTGCTTTTTTACAGAGATAGACTCTCTGCTAGTGACATGCTCCAAGTCCGAAAAGTTATGGAACATGTTTATGAAAAAATTATCAACTTGGATAATGAGTCTCAAACCACTAGCTCTTCTAATAATGAAAAACCAGGAGAACAGGAAAAAGAAGAGGATATTGCTGTATTGGCAGAGGAGAAAATTGAACTTTTGTGCCAGGACCAGGTAAGTGGACTTGAGGACCACAGTCCCATTTTTGCCAGTGCTGGTGCTCATAAAGAGTTACGTGATGATGTGATTATAGTTCCAAATCTTTTGCCTTTGGGTCAGGGGGCTTCAACTTCTAGAGAGGTTCTAAGGAGCCCTGGGCCTCTCCCACCTATCTGTGCGTCCCTTTTGGAGGGGCTCTTCAGCCCACTCTAAAGCTTTTCTTTACTGCTGCAGAGATTTTCAGAGAAGGGACACATAGACAGATGTGGATACGCTGGTAGCTTTTTTTTTCTGACAAGAAAAAGACACACGGTCTTCTTGATTTGCAAAGCAGTGTGTGCCATGTTAGTTTATGATTTAGAGTGAAGGTATGTGGAGAAATGGCAGAACTGTTTTTTAAATCAAAATGCACTCAAAAACGTATCCTCAGAGGAATGGCTGAGAGATGGCCTGGTGTTTCTGGCATAATCACAAAAGGTGCACTTCTCACTAAGCTCATGGAAGCCGTGATAGCAAGAATTGGATATCAGGCATAGCGGAGGAGTTAGCAAGCTGGATCACCTGATAAGAGTCCCTGAGTTAATGAGAAAGGTTTTAGATATCAGAGACTTTGAAATTTTTAAATTTAATTTTGGCTATTCAGGTTTTGGATCCAAATATGGACCTTCGAACAGTGAAACACTTCATATGGAAGAGCGGTGGAGACCTCACCCTCCATTACCGTCAGAAGTCCACGTGAAGGGTGGGCTAATGCTCCTGGGTATTCATTTACGACCTTCCTCTATGGCCCTAAGAGTAGTCCTAGGAAGCCCACTGAGCCCCAATGGGAGCAAGACTTCTAATGGCCGATTTGGTATGGACTGAGATTATCTTTCAATTGAAGTGACTAATCGAGATGTAATATAGAAACCAGTCTCCATGTGTAGATTAAGCTATCCCCAGGGAAGCAGAGTGCAAAAGCAGAAGAGCCCCAAGCAGACTCTGCCTTTCGAGATGTACAGAAGACTGACAACAGGCCAGTGCAGACTTTCCTTCCTCCTTTTGTTTCAAAGGACCTTATCTGTCCGTTAGCACTTGTTAGAGACACGTTGGTCGGGCCACATCTGTCTCTGTTTCAACTTCAAATCCATACACTCTAGCTTTTCTAAGAGAGTACATTCCATTCATGCAATAGATAAGAAGGCTTTTTCCAAGTTTGTCATATGAAAAAAATTGTTTTCACCACTTAAGACAGTTATTTTTAATGGGAATTTGCTGTTGCACAATTTGAGAACCAGCCCATTTCATAATAAAAGATTAATGTTGGGCTTGTTTTTAATATTGCCTCAGATGTGTTCTTGTAGGAAGACCTGTTGAAATTCCAGGTGCTGGATCATAGCATTTGGCCTGCTGGGCCAGCGTTTGCGCAGCCTGTGCCTAGCGATGCTGCACCCTCCCGTAATGTCCTGGCTTTGCGGCAACCCGAGGGAGGTACAGCCATTTCACTCCTTCCTCCACTGTGTCCAGTTTTATTTCCACAAGGTGAGCTGAGACCACAGGTTCTTGCTCTGGATGAGCAGCATGACACCATGAAATTTCAGTTTCACTCAAATGTTACCTAAAAGTTACGGTATCAGAGTAAAGGGAGATCATAGTGAGTTAATTTGATATTCATATCCTGGAAGTATACATAGTAGTTTTTCCAAAGTTTTATATGCAGGTTTTTGTTGTGCCTGTATCCAGATTTTTTTCACTGTTCTAACAATCTAACGTTTTCATAGAATCATTTGGATCTTGTACAGAATGTAACTTATTGGGGATAAACACTTCAACTTTTGGCAGAAAATACTTTGGATTCTCCCCAAGGTCATTTGTATTCAGAGTAGATCAATGGTCCACCCCCATAAAACTGTTAAGACAAGCCTCCTGTACGAAGCCAGAAGCACAAGTGCCTTCAGAGGGCAGTTTATTCCAGTCCAGTTGCCTCCCTAGCCTGTGTGTGGCCTGTCTCCACCATAGCAGGGACTGGGGAGGGAGGTAGGGAAGGTTTCTTCTTTTCTACATCTTCACAGGTTTAGCTGGGGGCAGCTGATGGGCCTAGGTCCATACCTTACTATTTAAGATATTCTGATCGCACAACTGCAGACAGGGTTCCCTCACTGCTAGTCAGCTTCCTCTGGAAACGACAGACCATTGCCGCCTGCCCTTTGAAGAAGTGAGCAAAGACGTGGCCACATTTCCAGTAAGCTGAAATGGTCTTTCTCCCTTCCTCAGAGAGCAACCAGCTTCTTTTTTTTAAAAGTCCTTTCTATCTGTTGGATACAATGGTGCACTTTTGGTGCACATTTTTTAGCAATAGTTGTGAATTAATGGCAAAACAACAAAAACTTATTTACCAGCCCTCAGTTGTGTTTGCACGAGGGGCCTTCGAGCAAAGAAATAGATTTTGCTGGGTCATTTTGCCCTGTGTGCTAAGCCTTGGGTGGCTGCATCCCCTCCTGTCATAGATCCGAACCCCAGCATGATTGTATTTTTTTCCCCTCCAGTCAAACCGTAATACAGTTTCCAGAAAATTTGACAGTCTGCAATGCCAAAAGGGTAAAAATCTGTATTTCACAGTTGTATAGAATAAAGGCTTTAGTTAAAATATTTCAAAGTGTAGTACACATTTATTTTCATTTGTCATTTTCTTTAATAGCAGATTACAGAGAGAGAAACCTCTGGTTTCATGTTCTCCCTGGAAATATTAGCATTGATACCTATTGTATCCTCCAACTTATGGGGGAAGGGGAAGTAAAAGTGAGGAAGAGCCAGAACCTTCAGGTGAGGGCAACTTTGGGTCAGACTGCCAGGCTACAGTGTTAAGGGAAGCTGGCCCCAGAGTAGTCCTGTGGCGATTCTGTTTTACTTCCTGCATTCCTGCGAACTTTGGCAGACGATCCAGGACACAATGCCTTACTGTTTGGCACATGCACCCGCTGCTCTGGTAGGCTTGACAAGGGTTTGCTTTAAATGAAGGGTCTGCTTCAAACTTTGTGTTTGCTGATTTGGGGCCCTCCGTCCATATAGTTGGTCTGTGCCCCCCAGAGCAGACAGTCCTTGTCCTACATAACCTAACAGAGCTTGCAAGTCCCCTGCACGAACACCAGCATTACAGGTAATCCTGTAAAGGTGAGACTTTCAACTAGGAACAGGCTAGAAGACAAGGCCAGAGGCAGCTTTCATAGGATCAGTGTGGGAAGTGAGGGTCCAGTCAGCACAGCAGAGGACTTCAGGTGATGAGGGGCCATCCCTGGATGGCATACACGGCCCAACCTAGCCTTAACCTCCAAGGGCACCTGGAGTGGGGAGAACAGCTTCCTCCCCTACAACAGGAAAGAACAGAAGGATCTTTACCTACTCTTACCTGTGCCCCTAATTCCCCCTTGGGGTTGGGGACTGTGTGTGAATAGACCTCATCAGGTGGAATGGCTGTGAGAAACTGCTTAGAGTGGTGACCTTAAACTTGCAACTTTTATTCACTGTTGGGGCTGGGTAGATGCCTTGTATATTTAGAAAAGATCACTGTTTAAGTTTGGGAGCTAACAGAAGTTGCCACTGGGGATACAGGTCTGTGGCATGTAGTCCCTGAGGAAGAAGAAATATTGTGGTCTGGGCACAATATCTGCTGAAGAGCCTAGAATTTCCAGCCCCCCTCCCTCCAGGAGTTGGGGGCAAGTGTGCTACCTCTCTCTCCCTACTGTGACTGGCATGGTGGCCAGCCTGAGGCAACTGTGGCAGTGTGGCCTAGGGACAAGGACACCTGACAGAGGACTTAGTGATTCGAACTTGAAAGGGGGTGGTCCCAGGACTCCACGGTCCCTTCCAGTACAGATGGGGTGGGCTGAGCTGTGCAGGAAGAATCAAAGCGACCAGGCCAACACTGGACAGCAATCCCTTCCTCACCTCATCTTCACACTGATTATGACCAGACCCTGCTGCCTCCTAAGTAGCCCCAGTGACCAGAGCAGGACCAAGCACTGGACCTGAGGGTACACAGCCAAAAGATGTCCTCCCACAAGGCCCATGGCCCCGTCTCACCATCCACTGAGGCCTCATACCCCACTCAAACAGAAAAGAATCCTTCCTCTCCTACCACAGCTCCTATAAAACAATTTGAGGTGCTGCTCCCAGCCGTCGACTACCCCAGAAAGACTTGTTTGAAACCCCCAAAGCCAGAACTGTCAGGCAGGATAAAATGCTGGAGGTCACCTCTTGGACACTAGAAGTAGAGTTTGAGTGGACACAGAAGCCCCTGTCAGCAGAAGTCCCTGCACATCACCTGGAGCTGTAGCCTAGAAAGCTGAACACACAGGGCTGGGATCAGGCACAGGGCTAGGGTGGGCATGGAGCTGACTGCCTCGTGCAGCCTGGGCTGCCTGCCCACATCTGGGCCTCATGATATGTCATTGGGGCCTTGTCACAGCTCAGGGTGTTTCTCTGTGGTAGAGATCTGGGCCTGGCTGGCCAGCCCCTCAGCCTCCATCCCCAAATCTGGGTTCTCTGTGCTTGCTGGTTCCTCCTCAGCCTGAGCTTCAAGCAGCTCGGCAGACAGCCCGTCTTCTGGTGAGGCTGCAGAGGTGAGACTGTCGGGAAGCGTCAGCTGAGGCAGGTGGTCCGCCTGGGCTTGGGCACCTGGGCTGTCCAGGAAGGAGACCTCAAACTCTGATCCAGACCATGTAGCCTCACCTGCAACACAGAAGATCAGGCTAAGGAGGACTGCAAGAACCTAGGGCCGTGGTGCTAAAGCCAGTAACCCCACTGACAGCCCCCCACTGCCACTCCCGATTTGATGGGGGACTGGAGACGGAGTGTACCAATACCTTGGTGTGGCTGTATCCACCCGACGGCCCACTTCTGACCAGCTGTGGAATTCAGGGCATCCTTCCCAACAACCCAGGGTCCTCCCCAGAGGACTTCAGAAAGGGATGGCCACTCACCACCCCGCTCATGAGAACTGCTGCTAGAGCAGATGTCCTCCGGCCCTGAGGTTGAGACAGCTGTGGGGATCAGTTCTGTGGAAGAAGGCAGGCCGGGCCACACACTGGCATTGCTGCTGTCCAAGAGGGAAATTCCCGACACATCCAGGAAGCCTAGGGGAGGGCAGTGCAATTCTTTGCCAGCATAAAACCCTGACTGCTAGAAAGCAGCACCCTGGCTCACCCAGCCGTAAGAGCTTCTCACACTGCCTATTTCTGAGGAAAAAGGGGCCTGGAGTTGGGCATCATAGGATAGCACAGTGGCAGTGGACCTAGACCCTGCTCTGTCTCCAATCTGCTGTGTGACCTGAAGGAGGCCACCTCTCTTCTCTGTGGACTACAGACTCTCCATCTGTACACTAGACTGGATGATAGGCAGCTATTAATATCTTGGTGTACATAAGGTATGAGGGGTCAGCAGGGCCTGGGGAAAGTTTTGACATGGCTGCCAAAGTCCAGCCCTAAGCCTGGGGCCCACTCCTCTGCAGGGCCTGCCCAGTACCTGGATCCATGACTCGCTGCACTGGAGGTGGGGGCTGAAGAGGAGTCTCCATAGAACGAGGAAGTCCACCAGAGTCTGGAGCAGTGTGGCTGGGACTCTCAGGCCCAGAAGGGGGTTCCTCCATGGAGGAGCCGGGCGCCTGCAGCAGGGCCTAGGGAAAAAGAGGAAATGGGTAGGGGATAATCAGGACAGTGCCTCAAGGTGAAGAATTTTGCAGTCCAACTTAACCAGCAGCCCACCCTTGTCCCAGGAGCACTGCTCTGCCTGAAGGAAGGAAATGGCCTTAGTAAGCCACTCCTTCTTCTATAGGTGACAGGAAGTCAGGCCAGAGGGGCCTGGCCTGGCCTCCCCTGCAGTGTTAGCATTGAGAGGGAGCACTCTTTCCAGCCAGACGAGGAACCCCAGGTGCCCACCTGCCCCTGACACATTCCCTTTGCTGCCTGGGACCCATCAATGACTCACAAGAAGAGAGGGCTTTCCTCAAATTCAGGCATACTTGTAGAACATCCTTGAATATTCCCTGGCACAGACCCCAGGCACCAGCCCAGTGCCCAAAGGTGCTCTCAGAGGACCCACTCATCAGCAATGAAGGGAGGGCCGGCGCTTCCCTGCAGACTTGGCCAGACAACCATCCCGGCTGTGGCTCTGGAGCCCCAGCCCTTTGCCCAGCTTTGCCAGAACTCACAGGCACAGCAGGCACCCATCTCTGAGCCTGAGTTTCCCACCTGTGAAATGAAGGTGACAACTCGTGCTTCACCTCCACCCTCACCTCTAGACCCAAGGGGCAAGAAGCCAAACGTGAGTGTCACTGCTCCAGGCATGGCTCGCCTGCTCCCACTGGGTTTCAGAAGTAGATGGGCCTCTCACATCACAAAGGCCCCACAGACAGGCCCCTGGTGAGGGTTGCTGATGACTCCCCAAGAGCAGTCTCTCGAGTCTTCTCTCTTCCCAGTTGGCAGATGCTCCCTACATACCTCCATGTAGTCACTCTGCCTGGAACCTGTCTCCAGGGGAGAAGAGTCCTCCAGGGCGGGTCTAGGTCGTAGGGCATCATGCAGTGAGGCATCAGTTGGTGGGGCACCAGGTGATGGAGCAGAAGGTGGTGGGGCACTAGGTGGCTTCCTGTGGTAGCTGGGGGCCTGAGTTGGGATCCGGTGTAGATACCCGTAGCCAATGCCACATCCCAGACTGCCAAAGGCCAGAAACATTCAATCCAGGGGCTTGTCCCACGGCCCTCCCTACCTTTGCCACCCCCACCTACTACCAGCAATGAGGGGCGGAAAAGGGAACTTCTGAAACACTGGTCAGCCTCAGGATTCCTGGCCCAAGCCCAGGGCCCAACCCTCCTCCATCTCCACCACAGAACTCCCAAGGTCCATGCCCAACGGTCAGGCCCCACCCACCTGGCCCTGCACCCTCCAACCCCAGAAAGTACCTTCCCTCTCCACCCCAGGCTGCGTTGGGAGTTACAGTCACCTCCCGGCAGGAGTCAGACTCGGAGTTATACACCATCAGCTTCAAGGGCTTCCCCTCATGAGACTCGATGAGCGTAAAGAAGTCCTCGGACTGTGAGAAATGCATAGCACCTGAGGCCTGCTTCCAGGACTAAAGCCTCAACAAGACCAGACACTTCTCATGGACAGCACCCATCTCTTCACACCATCTCCAGAGGGTCTGGGGAGGGGCAAGCCGTGGGTTCCTCACCTCCTGGAGGATCTGGTCTGAGCCAACCACATAGTCTGTGTAGGGGCGCAGGCCAGCAAGAGCAGCAGGTGAAGATGGTTCCACATCCTGAGGAAAGAATCGCAAACTGTTGGCCTTACTACTAGAGGTGGGGTTGCGGGACAGAAAGGGCAGGGGGAACTGCCTCTTCAGGTAGTGAGTAGGACACTTGTCCTCTGTTCCTAAGCAGGGCTTCAAGCCCAGCCTCCCTCACTTCACCCTCCATTCCCCTCCGTCCCCAAGGTTTACAGCCTGCCCCGCAGAGGGCAGTACCATGACAGGGCTCAGCACCAGGCTGAGCCCCACAATTAAAGATAGAGAGTACCTACTCACAGTGTTGCTGAGAAAAGCAGAGAAATACATGAAAAGAAGCAAAGCACACCCTGCCACAGGAGGTACTCACTATGTTGCTGCTTCTGCTGCGGGCATGTGGCTAAAGACCCCTAGGAGTTGGAGGTGAGGGCAATGGGCAAAACTGGGTACAAATAAGAATTCCTTTCTGCCTTGGAAAGTTCCACCACTCCAATCTCCCAGGGAAATGCAAATAAATTTGCATCACTAGTCCCATTTCCCTCATGGGCAGATTAAGGCAGGCTACAAAGGCTGGAAACTTGGCCAGGCTCTCACAAGAAGTCAGTGAGAAAAAGAAGTGGCCAGAAAACAAACCAGCCAACCTCTAGTTCAGAGTGCCCTCCTTCCAGCAGGCCACAGGACCGAGCATTTGAGAACTTACATACCATCAATGAGCACAGGTGCTGGTGTGCATGTGTGTCTGTGAACAGACTAACATCTATGACAGCTTGGTCACTGAGGTTCATTAAGATGTTGATTAATATATAACAGGATACCAGAAAAACCAGTATTTATATAGTCATGTTGCTTAATAACAGGGATACATTCTGAGAAATGTCTTGTTGGGTGATTTCATTGTTGTGCAAACATCATAGAGTGTACTTAACATAAACCTACACAGAGCCTATCACACACCAAGGCTATATGGTATGGCCTACCGCTGCTGGGCTACAAACCTGCACAGCATGTTACTGTAACACAGCGCCAAGTATCTGTGTGTCTAAACATTCAGGTATAGATCAGGTGCAGTAAAAATATGGTATTATAATCTTAAGGGACCACTATTATATATGCAGTCCACGGTTGACTGAAACGTTATGCAACACATGACTGTGTGTCCACACACACACGGAGACAGAGAATAGTACACACACACACACACACACACACACACACACACACACGGAGGGAGACAGAATAGTAAAATCAGTAGCATTCCAGCAGTACAACCACCTTTCTAGTAGAAGGTATTTCTACCTTTCAAATTAAGTAACCTAGGTACAGAAGGTAAGAAGGAAAGTGCCCAATGTCATAGCCAACAGGAAGCAAGGTACCGTGCTGCGGTGGTCATGAGCTGCCCTCTCTGGGACCCTGGGATGAGACCACATCCTGCCCTCAGAGTCTTCCCTGGCCCCTGCTCCAGGGCTGCCGCCCCTCCTGCATGTCCCACCCTCACACTCTGCCCACACCCAGACCCGCCCCAGTAAACTCATCCCTCCAACACACCCTGCCCTGCCAGACCCCACACTCACCAGCACATGCCAGACTTGCTCACTGGCCCTGCGGAAGCTGCAGAAGCGCACGCTGGCTCCCAGGAGGCCCTGGCCACCCCACATGTTACTGGGCACTACCTCCACCTCGCGCACCTTCATGGTCTTCATATTGAACACCTCCAGCTTCACAGGCTTCTCCACATTGGCTTTCAGTAGTGCCTTCAACGTGTCATTCTCCTTGTTCTGTGGGGGCAGTAGGGCTGACTCCGAGGCCACCCCATGCCCAGGCTAGGACCCTTAGACAAGTCTGGGCCTGAGATGGGGCAAGGGCCTCAGTGGGCAGCAGCCCCAGCAGGGTCACTGTGGGGGGATGGGCCAAGGTAGTGGATGGGCCAGGTTCACAGACCAGGGTTGAGCTTGCAGCCACTGGGACCCCCACCTCCCCCAAGCACTGCCAAACCTTCCTCCCTCAGCCTGCCAGAAAAAACCAAGCAAGCAAAAGACCTCCGTGGTCCACAGCATCACCCCACTTTGAGCTGCCCCTTGGCCAGGGCCCTCATAACCCTCACGCCCCAAGAGGCAGGCCCCCTGGGCCTTATGGCCACCTCCAGAGGCCATCTGTCCTCTGTCCACCCCAGAGAGCTCAGAAGCTGAGCACTGAGCAGGGCCCCAGTCAGGCTCTGAGTATAAGCCTGGAAGAAGGGGAGACAGGGCTGGGACTGCCTTTAGAAACAAAGGGAGGGAAGGGTAGACTGGGGCCCCCTGTGGGACAGTCGGACACAAGGAGACACAACCACACACAAGCAAAGCAGAGGCAAGGTTGGGGAACCTCACCAGCCTTGAGTGCCCAATGGTGATGATGAAGTCAAAGTAGGGCTCCAGGCCTGCCTGCTGGGCTGGGGAATTCTCCTGCACCTGTCCCACAGCAAAGGCCACAGTCACTGCGCCAACCTGGGACTCTCCAAGTAGCCCTCACCCCCATTTCAGGAACCATCAGCACCCCCAGGGTCCCAAGCCAGACCACATGCCTGGCATGAACTGTTCTGGGCATTCTCAAGGTTTACTCCATGTCTTCTTGCTACCTTCCTAGGCACAAATTTTCCTCTTAGGAAAATGGCTCCTTTCTGATGATCCGCAGATGCTTCCAGAAGTGGCTTATAGCCCAGTACATCCTTAGGGGATCCAAGTAGGCAATATGGAGACAGGCAGGCCAAGGCCTATGGGAATGCTGCTCCCAAGGGCTGGGCTAGGGTTGGCTGGAAAGCCAAAAGGGTTTACCAGAAAGGTTTAGACTGAAGAAGGGAGGGCCCTTACATGCAGTGGAAGTGGGCAGGCCTCAGGAGGGATACATCCAGGGCTGGCCCAGAAAGAGGAGTGGGAAAGGCAGCTTGCAGCCAGATCCCAGGGGGCCCCAGCCTCTGGGGTGGCAGACCCAGGCTCAGTCCAGCAGGCGATAAAAGCCACTGGTAGAGGAGCAAACCCCAGCGGTAGGACTGGGCCTGAGCCAGGGAGTCCAGTGAGTGGGCAGTGCCAATCCCCACAGCCTGGCTCTGGACTGAGGAGCCTCCCAGTGGCTCAGCTACCCTACCAGCCTCATAGTGTAGCCTCCATGCCTGCGCAGGACACCTCCTCCAGGAAGCATTCCCAGTCCCAGGGTGTTCCCTGGCCCTCTGTGAACTCCGCAGCTCACTGCTGTCTCCAAAAGCACAACCACCAAGCCTTGCAGGCTGTGGCAGAAATCCATCCCAAGCCCCATTTACAGAGCCTGGCTTAAACAATGCAGGCTTTATCCCACGGTCCTAGACCCAAAGATGGGCCCACACCCTCAGGCCTTTGGCTGTGGGCACTTGATGACCTGCTGGTGTAGACAGCAGCCAGACCCAGCCCAGAAGGCACAGGGCCCAGGCTTCTGCTGCCTCCTATGGGAAACGCCCCGTGGCTCCTGCTACACACCAGCCCCTCCAGTTTTGGATTCCCCAAACTGAAGGAGAGCTCAGAGACTAGGCTGAGAACAAATCGCTGAGATCAAGGTCGCTTTGCCCCTGGAATTAGGATTCCCTTCTGGCAACATCACCAACTGAGCCCCTCTTTGTCACCTCCAAAAGCTGCCATGGCTTCTAAAGGGAGTGAGTGTGGCCCAGAAATCAGCTCTGGACCTAGTTTGCTTGGCCCAGTGGGCAAGCTGCTCCCAGGTCCCTCTGCAGGGGAGCTCTGAGCCCTGCCCTCTAACCCTTGGGGTGGGTAAGGGGGGGATCTTCGGAAAACCACAGGACAATTATTCAGGAAAAGCTTGGAGGCAATGTTCCTCCCTGATCAGAGCCACTTCCAAACCATTCCACATCAGGTGCCTGCCTACTCCCCTCCCCACTCCCAAATACTGCATGTCAGATGCCCTCCATCATTAATGAGGTCCAGAGGCTCAGGCCACCACCCACCCTCTCCTGTGGCTTTGTCCTGTGCTTGGCTACACTCCACTTCTTTCACCTGGGCCCCATCACCACTCATTATGGCTCTGCGGCTGAAATCTATGCTGCTGCCCACTGTCCTGTCCCCCTGCAGAAAGCACTGCCTGCCATCCAGCTCCCTAAGGGCCTCCATCACAGCCTGCCCACAGCCCTAGAGGTACTGCTTTTCCTAATGCTCCCACCCTGTCTTCCCCAATCAGGTAACCTAATGGAACTCACAGGGATCACAGCTTACACCTACTAAGGGCTGGTTGGTTGAGTGCCAGGGGATGGCACCACCTCACCTGCTTTATGTATCATTTACCGTTTTTAATAATCTAAAATGACAGATGAGAACAAGTACTCAGTAATTCAGTAATTTGACCCCAGGAAATCCAACCCAGAGCCCTCCCCCTAACCACTGCCCCCTAATGGCTGTTTCCTGGCCAATCTGCCATTACTCTAAGCTCCTTGAGGCAGTGACTTCTCCAAAGTGTTGGGCACACATTGAGGTGCCAATATTCCTAGAATGCAGCACAGCTCTTCTTCAGTGTTGTTAAATTTAAGTAGGTCATGTCACTCCTCCATTTAAAACCTCCTGGTGGCTCTACATCTCAGAATAAAATCTTAAATTTTCAGGACAACAGGCAAGGTCCTACATGGTCTGCTCTGGTCTCCTCCTCACACCGGCCACACCACCCAAGCACACCAGCCTCACCTGGCATTTCCTCAAACACACAAGCACAACCCACCTTGGGGCCTTTGCACAAGCTGGTGCATCTGCCTGGAATACTACTATTCCCCTAAATATCTGTAATGTCCACTCTTTACTTCCTTCAGAAGCATGTGTTCTAATGTGACTTGAGAAGAGGCCCTTCCTGACCACTCTATGAAAAATAGCGCCCACTCACCATTCTGCATCCCTTAACCTGCTTTCTTTTTCTCACTAGTAACACCATCTACCATGTATTTCTTCAGCGCTCTCTTTCCCAACCAGTATCCCAATGTTAGCTTCAGGAGAACAGGGACCATGTTTGTTCTGTTCACGGCTTTATCTCTGGAGCCTTAGAATTCTGCCTGCCACCGAGTAGGAGCTCAAAACTATGTTTTTGTGACTGACAACCTCTGATCCCTGGTCGCTCTCCGATTTGCCTCTCTCCATCAGGCAGGCCCCTCCTGTCTTCGCTCCCATCATCGCCCCACCCCATCCTCTTGCCCATATCCTGAGCTCCTCTGCCTTTTATCAAACCTGATGGAAGACGCTCCTGGCTGGATGCATTGCACTGTCCACACTTGCTGTCAGGTGCCTCACCATAAGAAAGCCCATTACCAAGCACAAATCCTGTCAACTCTGGGTTCTCAAAGCCGGCCTGGTTTTCGTGTTAAGAAACTCCTTCTTTAGCTCTCTCAAGTGGTTAGCTGGCAACAGACCCACCTTCAAAACACACAAACCGACAAACTTGCCTGTCTCCACTCATCTCTGCATCCAGCTGCTTTACACTAGGGAAAGTGGGGGGCGGGTGCACGGACGCCTCTTCCCCGCAGCGCTCCGGGGTCAGAGACGCCGCACCCCCAGGCCCTGTCACCTGCATTACAGCCCTTCCCTCTCCGCAGGCACAAATCTCCATCCGGCTGCGGGCCCCTCTCCTCACCTTCACTGCCAGACTGCAGACACCCCACTCTCTCCACACCTCCTGGCAGCGCCATCTCAAGGCCGGGACCCTCCCCAGCTGCAAACGCTCTCCTGAGGAGTCTGCAGCACTCTCCCGGCCCCCCCGCTCCCCGCTGCCCCGCGGCTGGTTCGCGCCGGCCCTCTACCCGCGAAGCCCTCACGACTCTGCGACAGGCGGGATGCGCGCCGACGGGCTCCCCCGCAGCGGCGTCCATTCGGTTACCCCGGCCCCGCGACTGTCCTCGGCGTGGCTGACTCTTCCCAGGCCCGGCACGGAGCACGGCCCGCGGCCGGCGAGCGTGAATGTGTGCTAAGTGCACGGGTGCGTCCCGACTGGTGGCACCAGCAGCACTGTTCACCCGGGAGGAGCGCCAGCCCGGCGGCCGGACCGGGAAACGCTCCGCTTCCGGCACTGCCGGCTCTTGGGGGGCGCGCGGGGCCCGACCGCGGCCGCTGACTGGCAGGGGTCCGGGGAGTCCCGCGAGGCCGCCTCTCGCAGGCGGCTCCCACCAGGCCAGGGGCATCGCCCGCCACCCAGGCGCAAACCCTCGGGCCGGGACCCCGCCACAGTCGCCAGCCAGCCGGCGAGCGGACGCCCGGGCGCGGGGGTGCGGGCGCCCAGCCAAGGTCACCGGCGCCGCGGCGGCGACTCACCCCGTGCAGGTGGAAGCCCTCGGCGCCGCCCGCGGGCTGCTGGGCGCTGACGCCCAGGCCCATGGCGGCGGCTCCGCTCGGCACCCGGTCCAGTCCCGCTGCGCGGCCCCGTCAGGCCCACCCGGCGCCGCCGGCACGGACTCGCTGTCTCGGCGCTCGATTCCTGCGCCTTGCGGCGTGCGTGGCGCTTTGCTCCGCCCACTCCACGCGCTGACGCTCCTAGCAACCCGCCAGCCGCTCCGTTTCCAAGGACTGTAACCTGCAACCGCCCGCCGCGACGGTCCTGCCGCGGGAATCCCGCTCCACACCGCCGCCCAGACCCGGACTCGGAGCTGCGAGCGCCCGGAGATGAGCAGCAGTGACTCCTCCCTTATGGTGCGTGGCCCGGCGCTGCCCGGCCTCTCCCTCGTAGCTCCCCGCCCCTGACCCGGCGACCTCGTGCCAGGCTACTCTCCTGCCGCCCTTCGCTGTCCTCAGCTACGTCGGGCGGTCCGGCCCCTTCTTCCCCCACTCTCCCTGGCAAGCGCGTCTTCTCCACTGAGCCCCAAATTAGCATCCCTGGTTCTTGAGCTACCCCATACCCGCGCATCCCATGTCCCTCATTACCCCTTCTTGTCATGATCCCTTCTTCAACGCAGCTCACTCTACCTGTGCCTCCCACGCCAGTTGATGGCATCACCATTTAATCTCCTAGCCTTAACTCATACCTCTTCCCTACACCCATCTTCTAATCCTGTCTACAAGAAATGCCAGCTCCTCGATGTCTCCTGGGTTTTCTTTTCATCTTTGTATCTTCTTGCCCAGAACCAGCACCATCTCTCCCCCTGAGCGCCTGCAGCAGCCTCCCTCCCATCTGGTTTCCCTGCTCTGGCTCTCTTGAGCAGCTGTAGTCCCCTACTGCGACCAGGGCACACACCCCCACGTGCAGAACCAGCCAGAATGGTTATGGCAAAAATGTACATCTGAAAACACCCCTCGCCTTAAAACCATTCTGCTTTCTGTTACCCTTAGGATGGTGTCTTGGCTCTTTCATAGGGCCCACGAGGCTGTTTACAGGCCAACCACATCTGTCCCCAACCTAGCACCCACAAACCTTAGGGGAAGTGAAACTTAGCTTTAAAATCTCAGCCCCTTTGTCAAGCTGTAGTTTCCATGGGCCTAAGCTTCCTTAACTGTGAAAGACACTGAGAGGACCATGCACAGGATAATGGATATGAAGCCTACAATAACTTGCAACTACAATTGGTATAATTTTTCTTATTATTTGTCCTCATTTATGCCTCTTCTTCCCTTCCTAAGGCAAAAGTTGGGTTGAATTCCCCATCGTAGTTGGACCAGAATCTGTTGTTAGTCCCCCAGACAAACACCTCCAAACTCCTTCCTGGGAAAACTGCATGGAGCTGCCCCCAGGGCTGCTAGAGGACAGGATGGGGCCTGAATGTTTCCTCTTTCTTTTCCCTTTGGAGAACTGAGGAGGAGCGGGGGATAAGAAGGGAAAAGGTCTCACCCCATTTGGGAGAGAACAGAGACTGAGAAGGTACTGAGCTATCGCAGTATGTCTTCCTTCATACAGGCTGGGATCATTTACTATAGCCAGGAAAAATACTTCCGCCATGTGCAGCAGGCTGCAGCTGTGGGTCTGGAAAAATTCAGCCATGACCCTGTGTTGCAGTTCTTTAAAGCCTATGGAGTCCTCAAAGAAGGTAAGGACTTGGCAGTGTTGGTCTTGTGACCCCAGGCATTAGCCCGGCCCTAACACTCTGGCTCCACCTGGATGCCTCCTTGTATCCTAGTTATGGTCCCATAAAAACAGTTTCACACTCAGTGGCTGGATTCCCACGGGAACCCACAGAAGCCTAGGTAATCCATATCAAGTCAACTTTTGAGACCTCAGAGCACTCACTATCCCTGCTCCACACCTCGGGTTCCCTGTCTGTAAAATGAGTAGTTGGAGAGATAGCTGCATGATTCTTGAAGTAATTCCAGGCCTGGAAGCTGAGAACTGGTAATACAGGCAGAAGAGGAGGAAGAGGTAGGTGTGGGGACAGGTGGGCATGGTACAGGTACAGGGAGAGGAGTGAGGCCCATGGAGGTGCAAATGGGCTGACATTCAGAAGGTGGTCCTGGGCTGAGGACCGGCTGAATGGCCCATGGCCATGTCTGGGGACATGGAGGGATCAATGTAATCAGCGGCTCTTGAGCACTAGCTGGGAATGCCCTTCCTGAGGTCCTTCTTCAGAACTGACCCAGCTAATAATTGCAGCCTCACACGCATTCCCACAAGTACTCACAGGTACACCTTTCAGGTTCAAGATCTCCAGCTCCTAACAGCCTGGACCATGCTACCAGCAACTCTTTCAGGGAGCTCCAGTCTTCAGGGAACTTGGGTCATTGGGGACCTTTCAGACCAGTTAGTCTTCTGATTCTGGGCGAAGCCAGGTAGTGCTGAGCCGTTGGGTCAGCTACAGAGTATCATGTCCTCTAGTCCTGGAGCTTGAGAGTATAACTATGTGGACTATCTTTTCAGAGCACATCCAGGATGCCATCAGTGACCTGGAAAGCATCAGGCATCACCCAGACGTGTCTCTGTGCTCCACCATGGCCCTCATTTATGCTCACAAAAGATGTGAAACCATCGGTGAGTGCTGCCATGCTCAGCTAGGCCTGGCCCACCAGGGGAAAGAAAACCCTGCCCCAGAGATACACAGCCCCTCCAGGGCTGCCAAAGGAGGTGTGTGCCCTGGTGGTTGCACAGATGCTGTTACCCAGTGAGAAGTGGCTAATGCTCCTCTCCCCCGGGAGGCCTGGAAGAGGACTCCATGCCTGGGCCTAATTGAGTGGAAGCAGGCAGAGACCATAACAGTGGGAAGGGTCCATGCTCCAGACCCCAAGAGCTGAGGAAACACCCTTTTTCTTTGCCAAGATCTTGTCAGGAAAACGAAGCCAATATATATATAATTCTACTCCTAATTTCTACCCCTTGAGAGTCAAGGAGAGTGTCCAAGAGAGACTACCCACTACTGTTTCCCCACTCATAGTAAGTTGTGGGCCTGAGGCTAAGGATTTTGGTTTGGTCTGCCTGCTCAGCACACTGCTGGACACAGAGAAGAGAAGAGAATCTCAGACAGCATACCTCAGCCCAGCAGGCCAGGACAGCCCCTGCAGCATCTCAAGGGTAGGGACTGCTGGTTTCCAGGCCTTGGGCTGAAACACAGCATGCTGCATATGTTGAGGGAGACCCACAGTGTCTGAGGAAGACCCAGAGGTAGTTCCCTGGGTCCTCCATGGCCCCTGCAGACCCAGGCAGACTTCCTCATCCTAACTCTCCCTCTTCCTTCACTCCTGGATTCACAGACCGAGAAGCAATTCAGGAGCTCGAGTGCAGCCTCAAGGATATACGCAAGACAGCCAGTGGCACTGCCCTGTACTATGCTGGCCTCTTCCTCTGGCTCATGGGCCGCCGTGACAAGGCCAAAGAGTACATTAACCACATGCTGAAGGTCTCTAGAGGCTTCAGAGAGGTACTGACCACACCGTGGGGACAGCAGCCAAACACGTCACAGCAGATGCCACCTTACTCCCACAGAGGGCCCTGAAGCTGGGGGAGAGCCACACCCAGCCACTGACAAAACGCCAGGTCTCACAGGGGCCCAAGCATATCGTCGCTGGGCTTAGCAGAGGACATTGGCATTTGTCCACAGAGTCTGATCTCTAGATAGATTTTCTACGGCTTCCACCATATTCTTAAGAAAAAAAATTTTTGAGACCTGACTGCAGCCACAACCTCCTGGGCATGAGCGATCCTCCCACCTCAGCCTCCCAAGTAGCTGGGACCATAGGTGTGTGCCAGCACACCCAGCTAGTTTTTAAAGTTTTTATAGAGACTGGGTCTTGCCATGTTGCCCAGGCTGGTCCAGACTCACTGGTTCTTTTGAAAACCCAGATGAGCTGGCCACACGGCCATTCCCACCCTGTAGTGCTTGGCCAGAACTGAATGGTGGCTCGAGCAGTGCAGCCACTAGACTGTACTGCACTAATGTGGGAGTCGGAGCCTCAGCCTAGGCCATTCCTTCTCAGTAGGGTTGATATTAATTTTCAAGGATGTAGATGTGGTCCCTGGGGAAGGGATGAAAAAAATCTTACTCTTTATGTGGAAAACACAGATATACATACAGTACCCAGTAGACAGATACGGTATATCTGAGATATTAACATTTCTCCGAGGGGGAGGGATTGATTAGAAAACAGTATCTAAAGAGACTCCTTAGGATAGATAATAGAAAAGAGCAATACTGATCTAGGCCATCAACAAGGGTGCTTTCAGGCAGGGTCTTCCAGGTCTACTTCCCAGGCCTGGCCTCCCCCTCTGCCAGGAGAGACTGGGGGAAGGCTAACGTGGAACCAGCGAGGCTCATGAACTCAGAATGGCTCCTGCACACCCCTCAGAGGGCTTTCTGGGGCTTCCTGTGCAGGGCCAGGTCTTGTGCTGGC